GCACACCAGACTGGGATTTCGTGTGACTCTCTTTATTAGTAGGGTCTAGCATAAGTTCAGTGCAACATGGCAGTAGATTGTATGCGTGAGAACACCCATCTACTGTCAACCATCTCTGCTGAATGGCAGCACCTAGGGCTGGTCCCAGTGGTCTTGCACCATGAATCCACCTTCGCATTGTATTCTTTGGTGCTACAGGTGAGGCATATGAGCCCGAGGCTGACCCTTCGATGGTGATCCTGCCTGGAACTGAGGAGTTCACCAGTGACTACAGATGCACTGTCTGGGCTATCTTGGCCTAAGGGGCTGCTTGTGAGAGCAAACAATCCTCTTTAAGTCCTACTCCAGTTCATGCTGAACAAATACATCAATGGTAAATTTGGAACAAGCCTGGGCTTGAATTCGCATCTAGTGCTGGAACAGTGACAGCAGGCCAACAATGGACTCCGAGCAAACCTACCTCGGGAAGCCATCTAGGGCACAAATAGCAGAAGTGACTGCTCAGAAAATTAAGTTCCTTGAAATTTTGAGACTGGCAGGATTACCTTTCAGTGTGCAGATGTTATCAAGACCAGCGAGCATCAAGAACTTTCAGAGTATCACACCTCACCACAAAGCAGGAAACCAGAAACTGACCTACAGCAACCCATATGAGTAAGGTCTTGGAGAATTTAGAAACAACCATTTTAAAGAAACTCAAGGAAGGAACTTCAAGTGAACACAGGAAAATTACTCAGTAGCAAAACAAATAAACTTAATGACAAAGGAAAACTTAAAACTCAAGCAGGAGCTTGAGAGGAGCTGAGAAAAACGCACACGAAGTAAAAGTTAAGAAACGACAGAAGGAGCCAACTGTGGAAAAAAATCCATAGAAGTAGGAAGTTCAAAGACAGCCTGTTGGAAAGACACAATTGGAGGCGACAAGATGAAGAAAGCTGAGTGGAAGGCTGGCTCACTGTCTGCCAATAGGTCATTCTCAGAAAGGTCACTAGGTGAACTTTTTGTCAAACTACCCGCTGAGTGACAGACACCAATGACAAATGAACCTCATATCAATGTGTACTTTGTTTAATTGAAGCATTTGTTTGCTCCATACGTACATCCCCATGTTTTCAGTATCTTGGTTAAAAAAAAAAAAAAAAACTTTTTAAAAACCTGGTTAAAGAGACTATAGATCGTAGGATGGGACTCCTGTATGGAACCTCACCCACCCACGGCTCCAGGAACATTGCAGAAGAGGAGGAGGAAAGATTGTTAGAGCCAGGGCTGCTTCATGAACACAGGGAGGTGGAGGCTTCCAGGCCACTGGAGGCTTGTTCATGTGAGTCTGTGACAGTGGTGGTGTCAAACACAGGACCCATGTCAGCTCAATTACATAAGGACCCAAAGGGGAGGTGAGAAATAGGTGGTGGGTCAGCACTAGATGGAGAACTATTTGAGGCTGACTGCTGCTGGGTGAGGGAGAGTATGACTTACATACAACCACTGGATGGGCTGACTAGACTCCAGTGGACGCATTTCCACTGAAGGACATTTGGGTACAATCACCTGAATGAATAGGACTCAGCATGCATGGCAGAGTGCATAGGGTTCCGTGGGGGATTGGGGGAGGCATGGATGGAGGAAGGGGTCTGGATTGGAGCAGAAAATGTATGAAATTTAAGAAGCTCAGTTGAAAAAATGTTTTAGAAAAACCTGGTTAAAAAGTAATTTCATAAAGAAATAAATTCAGAATTTTTAAGGTGGATATATCAACAAAAGCCATCAAATCAGAGTAAAATGATTTGAGACTAATATTAAGTGCAAAATGGTCTCTGAGCTCTCAACCAAATGAAGAACTTGTTACTAGTTTATGCCCCGGCACTTTGGGATCGTTTGCAGTACAGTAATAGGTCACTTCCACTTGTAATAGTCTTCCTTGTCTGTTACCCAGAATTTTTAAAAACTGCCATTTATACGGCATATTTTCCCACTCTCTTTACTTTCATTTATGCACTATAATTTAGATATGTTGGTTGTAAGCAGAATGTGTGTTGTATAACTTTTGTTTCTAGTTTTAAAGGATCTTTTTCTTTAGCCCATAATTACAGCAATTAGTCCCTCTACATGTGACCGGCTATATATTTTAATTTAAATTTTTCATTTTAAGCTTAGTTTGTAATTCGTCCTACACTTATGAGACAGATTACTAACCCACGCAACTACAACCACCAGGTCCACACTGGAGAAACGACAACATCTTCAGCAAATCCTTCTGGGAGCATTATTTACACGTAGAAGAACGAAACCAGATCCTTGCACAAAAAGTCAGTTACAAATGTATCTGTAACGTAAAACCTGAAACTGAAACTGCTAAAAGAGAAGGTAAGTGTGCATCACAATATATAGCCATAGGTTAGAATGTTCTGGATAGAAGTCCAGTTGCTCTAGAAAAAGTCAACAATTGACAAACGAGACCTCATGAAACTAAAAATCGTCTGTAAAGCAAAGCAAATTTAGTGATAAGGCAGCCTACAGAATGGAAGTAAATTATTGCCTAATACACACCTGACAGACGATCAACATCTAGAACACATAAAGAACTCAAAAACATCAAGAAAACAAACAACCTAATCAAAGTGGGCAACTGATCTGAACAAAATTCTCGGAAGACGACATGCACATGGTTTATAAGCACTTTGAGAGTCCACCTCACCAGAGAGGATGTCCTCAAGAAGTCACATGACAACAAAAGCTGGTAAGTTGTGGGAACTGTAAACTGGTGCAACCACTATGGAAATCAGTGCAGAGATTGCAAAACTTCAAAAGCTTGCCCTTCCCACCTACCCTTCCGTGTGACCTAACTATGCTACTCCTGGGTTTTTACCCACAGGCCTCTACGTCCTTCTACAGAGATAACTGCACATCCCTTTTATTGCTGCTCTGTCCACAAGAACAAATGAATGGGATCAGCCGGATGTCCGTTAACTGATTGTGTGTAGTAGGAATGTGTTAGTATCCAAGTGAAACTGTTTGACACTAAACAAAAGGGAAATGTGAAATTTGCATGAAAGTGGATTGTCTTAGCTTTTCTTGTTGCTATGATAAAACACCCTCCTCAAAGCAGCTCCTAGGGAGGAAGGGTTTATGGGGCTCACAAGGGAAGCCGAGATAGCAGGAGCTTGAAGCAGCCGGCTGCACTGCAACCACAGTCACTAGCAGAGAGCGATGGACGCACACATGCTGCTCTTCATCCTGACTTCTCCATGTTGACACAGTCCTGAATACCTTCCCAGAGAAATGGCGCCACCCGAAAAGGGCAGGTCGTCTCACATCTACTAATGGAATTAAGACGCCCTCACAGTCATTCTCAGAAGCTCGGTGATTCTAGATTGTGTCAAGTTCATAATTACTAGTAACCATCACATAGTTGGAACTGGAAATAATATACTGAATGAGGTAACTCAGGCCCAGAAAGACAAGTGCCTTTCCTAACTTTGAATTTTCAGGTTTCTGTGTGTACATTGGAATGAGTGTCTACGGATGACAGGAACCAAGAAAGGAGCCGTGGGTCATGAGACCACAAAAGAAGCCCGGGAGGAGAGTGATAGAACACGTGATCAGAGGGTAGCGAGGAGGGGCACTAGGAGGCCCAGGGGTTAAACAGGGGGTGTAGGAGGATAGGCAGGGTGGTGGTGGGTTACAAAAACTAAGGATGTTTTCATAAAGCTATATAGAAACCTACTACTACTTATAAGGTAGCTAAAAAATATAGTTAAAAAATAGTTTAAACAGACATAACCTGCTTGTGTGCATGCTGCTCCCAGAAGCCACAGGTTTTTAAACAAAAAATCCTCATACAGGATACCTCCATCCATGTTGCTGAGGGAGAGGATCCCCAGACAATACAGATTACCACCATTTTTCTTGGTTGCCAACCAGAAATAGCTATTAAAGCCCTATTACTGAAAAGACCATCCACTTTGGGTAGAGGACACAGATAGATCAAGCAAGAACTGTGCTGGCAGCTTTCTCTCTTCTGCAGTCTTTGTGTGCCAGAAAGCATGATGTAGACTCCTGGCAGAGAAAAGCCATCAGTGGTCTTTCCCAGCTGTGGGCCCTGAGTGCTATAATACCAACCTGCCAGGCAGGATAGGCCCACTGGTACAATACTGTCATGGCTCTTTTGTGAGCAACCAGCCACTATCTGAATGGATTTAAGGTCCACTCCACGAGAGGAAATTCATGCCTGGTGCTATAAACCTGGTCACAAAGTCCACTGCTGGGGAGGTCATAGGACATAGGAAAATCTGCTATTGTTTTAATGAATTGCCATGTTGTCAAACTGTGTTCTAAATATTCATGTTTATAGCCACAGACCAGTGCTGCTCTTAGCCAGGGCAGAAAAGCTTTTTGCACTGGGTGACAGTTAACGCAGACACTCATAACTGGTCAAAGTGCTGAGAATAAGTGACCGCTGAGTGCTCAGCCCTAAGCAGGACATCTACATCACCCCCTCCACGCCCAGGGAACACCACAGGAGGAGAAACAGAAAGACTGTAAGTGCCAAGGTATGGGGTGGTGTGCTAAGCAGCTCTGTCCTCCAGACATGACAGCGCTATTGCAATCATGTACACACAGTTGTTGGGGTTAGCTGCACAAGACACAGGTCTTCACTACTCCTACATCATGGATGGGGGAGGGGCTCCTGAGGCTCCACCCACTACTCCGAGGAGCTTTTGACAGCCAATGGTTGCATGGGAGTCACCATGTTCTTCAGTGTAGTCACTGGTAAGCTGCACATGCTAGTATAAACAGCCCCTAGTCATGTTCATGTAAGCAACCCTAACTGAACTCAGTGAGTCTTAAACAGAAGCCGTTAAAGTGGCAGAGGGAGCAGTTAGAAGTGTCAGCAGAGTGGGAAATGAGGAAGAAAGGGTCATGGGTGACTGCGATCATAGCACATTGTATACATGTAGGAAATGATCAAAACAAATAAAGATTTTGTGAATAGAGCATACCAGACTTTTATCCACAACAATATCCATCTCAATGCATCGCGGAGACAACTTGGTAAATTCAGACCTCTGAAAAACATGTATGACAAGAGTCCTGAGAACCTTTAAATGTTCATATCTATTGAAACTATAACATGCACTATGTGGGCTGTTTTTAAAGAGAAATTTTAGGTGCTATTCGGAGACTTCCCCAGCACAGGGTACTATGCTTTACCAAGAATTTTCAGTTAGACATCTCAGGCTTTTTGAGAGCCCAGGAATCTGTACATCAAATGAAGTGAAATAATAGGTTAATAAGAAAAGAATTGCTTTTTTTACCCTTATGATAATTTTCAATGTAGAAAGATGTTTCACTACTGATTATTAGGAAACTATGTTTAACAAGCATTATAGTTTAGAGAGACATTACCAAAGTTTTAATAGTTAATATTTTCATCTAAATTAGCTGTGTAACCCAAAGAATATTTTGCATTAATTATGTAAAAGCACGGGTATAAAAACTAATATTCTAGTCTCTTTTAATCCTATATTCAAATCTCCCTATTTCTAAGATTAATTACCTAAGTCTTTGCTAACTTGTATCTAATAACAATTATAAATTCTCTAGCCATTTAAAAGTCACGTGGTACCTTCATCTGAAAAGTAAAGCAATGCTAAGATTTACTTTGAAAGCATTTTTGTCTCACAACATTACAAAATAAAAGTTAACACTTACATTTACACTGTTTCTGAACTCATGCTGTGACTGATTAAACCAGTAAGTGTCATTCTCTGCGAAGACAGGAATACTAATTTTACTGTTTGCACTTTTGTAGATCATGTGTGCAAATCCCCACACAGCTTCCATGGGTTCAATTCCATAGGAGATGCTTTTAAATTGTATTGTTCCCCTGAAGGTTAAAATAATTAAAGAAAGTCTGAACGATTCTATCAAGTCTAGAATATTTTTATATAAATATTTTATTATCTTTATTTTATGTGTATGAGTGTGTTGCCTGCACATAGGTAAATGTATCTATGTTGTGCAGTGCCCCTGGAGGTCAGAAGAGGGCATCAGATCCCCTGAAACAAGTTACGGACAGTTGTGGGTGTTAGGAATTGAACACAGGTCCTCTGCAAGAGCAGCCAGTGCTCTTAACTGCTGAGTTATCTCTCCAGTCCCCAAATCTACAATATTCTAATGGCACATTTTGGTCAGAATTTGCTTTAAGTTGAGTCATTTTTGTTTTTCCACTTTACCTGTCTGTTTTTTGAGTTTATATCAGAACTAGGTCACTCTACCTCAGGATGAATAGTCTTTTCTATTGCAAATCTATTTTTATTATCTTAAAGAAAGTAGGATAGAGGTGTGGATTTGTGTTCTCAAACAATTGCTAAGGCCTCTCTCCAGTGTGCCAGCCTCTAGGATCTGCCGGCACTCTCTTCCTAGTCTTAGCTCCTTTGCCTGTGATACGCCTGACTTTTCTCTGATATCCTGGGTCCTAAACTATTTGTGTGGATGGACTGAAGGCACTACATGTTTAAAAATGACTGAATACAAAGGCCAAGTCTTTACTAGCTTCAAGAATTCTCAATTATTCTAGGAAATCAAAACTACAATTTTGTGAAACTGAAGCTGTATGAAGATACTGACTAGGACTCCCTACCTTCAAGTCACATCACAGACTTAAGCACGAGATCCCACCAGCATCAGTACAGAGCCTCTACTTGGGAATAGATGCCGGACCCCATTTTATTCATAATCCAGGTTTGCTTCTCCGGAAATTGAAAGATAAAGGTGAATAAAGAATGATAAAGGGTACGGGAAGAACTGACTCAGATGATAGCAAGATGTGATAGTGGCGAACTTAGTATCTAAATAATACACAACCTGAGTCCTGAGCAAATGCTGAATGCCACGAGAGAGTTTGGAAAACCTGCCACATATCCATTATAATTGCAACTTGTCTGAAAAAAATAATTCACAATGGAAAACAAATGGATGATTCACTCTTAAATGCACATCCTCAATATGTCACTTATGTTTATTACTTTATCTACCACAACACTTTGATATGATAGTTAATCACCCAATAAATTTGTGTCTGATGGAAAACAGCATCAGACTAAGTTATACAATTTAGGTGAATATATAAAATAATAATTAGAGACTTTATTTCTTAAAGAAAATCCAAACAAGAAATCTGCACAGAAGAAAACCTTAAGGCTTACCAGAGCTGACAGAGATTGAGACTGCTGGGTGCCATTTTTGTCATAAGAATAAACAGCAGCAGTTGGAGAGAGAAATGATCTGGGCAAAAAAGCACAAAAATATGCTCCAGTGAAACAAACATAAGAACCCATTCTTCATGTGCAAACTGAGCAACTTAAAGTAGTGCCAATCAACCCAATGAATTCTACTGTCCAAACTTCTCCTTGTCACTGACATTAACTAGATTTTGAAGCTGGCCATTTAACGTGAACACTAAAATGTAGCTTAATAGACAACTCAAATCACTAGATACATTAACAGAAAGTAATACAGGCCCCAATTCCTAGCATAGAATTTTCAAGTCTTGTTCTTTGTCATTCAATGATTTCAGATATGGTAACATATGACTTTAATCCCGGCACTTGGAAGGCAAAGGCAGGTGCATCTCTGTGGTCTACATAGTGAGTTCCAGACCAGCTGGGACTACATAATGAGACCAAGTTACACACACAAATACACACACACACGCGCGCGCACACACACACACACACACACACACACACACACAAAAAAAAAAAAAAAAAAAAAAAAAAAACCTTGCAGCTACTTTTACCAACCATGCCCCTCCCTCCCACATCACCTGAGCCTGCCTGCCTGCCTCTTTTATTACTTTTGGAGACAAACCCTTACACCTGTCTGTGCCACAGGTCCCCTCTTGTTCCTTATATTAAGATGCAGACCCTTTCTCTCCTATGATTTCAAATTCTTCTCCATTGGCTTTTTTACCCTAGTGCTACTGAAAAGCTTTTTTTCAAGTGACTACCATCCTAAATAATTATCCATCAGGTCCACACTGCTATGACCAGGTTTTTTTTATTATTTATTTAATAATATAATTATTGATTAGAAGAAGCATTTCATTATAGCTTTAACACATTTAAAAACAATTTCTAGAGCAAAGATATATCTCTTTCAAAAGTGACTGTAAAGTTTTAGATTCACAGTTGAATTAATACAATTAGACAATATTGAACTCAGTATAAGCCCTGTAAGACATAAAATTAAATGAGGTTTTAACCTTTAAAATAGATCTCCATTTCATTATTAAAATACACAGTTTCATACAGAAAAATTCATTTTAATGCAATTGACACAACTGCACATGCGTTTGTAATCTCCATGTATCTGATTATTACTAGTCACAGTCGGTTACTTTCTGAGCTCCTTGGCCTCTGATCATGGATACAAAGTCATCAGGTAGATTTCTATGGTAATGTTTTTCACATCTACTAGTTATTAAGGAGCAAATTTTTATGCT